AGTGGACTGCCAAGGGTGGATGTCCCTCCTTACAAATGGAGGTTTATTTATTGGAGGGCAACCGGTCGAAAGCTCCAACTAGACCAAAGCGAAGAAAAGCCGAGTTTCTTCGATCTAGTAGCGGCAGCTCAGTTGACCTTGACAACTGGGATAGTATGCTGGACCAAGAAACGGGATCGCGTGGTGTTACCTCAGCTTGGATGACGGGCTCTGCTTGGGGTTGGATTTCGGAAGGCGATTTGAAGACTATGGAAGAAGTGTCCTGGGCAGATCATCGATCCGGTCCTGAGACGGCAGCCAATTCCCGAAAAAATCCTTATATTCTTCGGTGTGTGGCGTTATCCCGAGAATTTCTTGCTTCTCCCCAAGGTGAGGCTGCAATGGGTGCGGAAGGCTACTTGCCAACTGCAGTGTCTTGCGACTCTGACACGAGACGAACTGCTCTTGGCACGATATTGGTGGGAATACATTTATTTCGTGAGGAGCAGAAGTTGTCTACCATCAATACAGAGAGTTCTTATTCGAAAGCTGGCCTTCTTGCCCCAGTCTTAGCACAAATCGGTGGATGGCTAGGGTGGGAATCCTGGGATTGGAAAGATCATGGCTATTACGGCGTCGAGATGGCGAGTATAGATCGATGGCTATTTGAAGAATCCAGAATTTCAACTTTGGACTTACCTGAAGAGCCTTTCCCCCCACCTTCGATACTCTCATTTATTGAAAAATCTCTGAACCATGAACAAGTTAAATTCTTGACGATTCTCGACATAGTACCAAGCTCCGCGTCACCAGCTAGGCGAGATTCTGCCATGCAGCGAGCTATGAGGCTCACACCAAGGACTTTGGCATTGAGTGGGTTCATTTCCGAGCTAAAACCACAAACTACTATTGAGGAACGAGTGGAACTGTTGTTTCGTTGGGGCTTAACAAGTTCCGTAATTGATACCCTTCCTGACGGAATCAGTGCTTCCCTTCACGAAGCGATTGCTCAATGCCAGCCGGCGCCTCCAAGCCACTGGGGTGGCTCCATGTTCGCATTGATCGACAGAGGCGACCTTCTCATGTCGATGACTGAAGATAGTGCCAGTACTCCAATATCAAGGTCTCCATTTATCCAATCCCACGATGCTGTACGTGACGTTCATTCGATTGGGAGCCAGTCACTCGATGGGACTACCTTGAATTCTTTCGAAGTTTCCGCTGAAGCCGATAGACAGTTAATTACTCGGCTTATTTTCCGCGAGGATCGGCGCTTTTATGAAGCATTTAGGATTCTTAATCAAATGAAACCTCCATATGTGGAATGTGTCCCAGCCCCGGGATTGTCTGAGTCGGAAGTTCTTGAGGCTCAGAAAGAATTGGTTCAGCTTGTGGTATTGCGGACATTGTCGGTGCCTGCTGGTAGAGCAATGATTGGGTTTAGTGGAAGGGTACCACTCCTAACTGAAAAATTGCCAATACCGGCTTTTTCTTTGCAGTGTGTTATGAAACCGTCAAATGTTACAATTAGTGCTGAAAAGTCCGCTTTCTCGGAAGACAAAGTTTGCTGGGCATTTTTCCACAATGGCGCCTCGACTGGACTTGCATTATCGAAGGCCGCGAAAGGTATCAATACGTCCTGGATATTGTATAATAAACCAACGGAGCTGACGAATAGACATGCTGGCTTTTTACTTGCGCTGGGTTTGAACGGGCACTTGAAGTCTTTGGCAAAATGGGTTGCTTTCAAATATTTGACCCCTAAACATACTATGACTTCCATTGGTCTTCTGTTGGGTCTGTCCGCTTCTTATCTCGGCACTATGGATACTTTGATAACACGCTTACTTTCAGTTCATGTAACTCGAATGTTACCTCCAGGAGCCGCAGAATTGAATCTGTCCCCATTGACACAAACTACTGGAATTATGGGTATTGGTTTGCTATATTGTAACTCGCAACACCGCCGGATGAGCGAAGTTATGCTGTCAGAAATGGAAAACACTGACCACGAAGAGCCATCTGCTACCCAAGAAATACTGCGAGACGAGGGATATCGTTTAGCCTCAGGCTTCGCTTTGGGTTTCATAAATTTAGGCAAAGGGAGCGATTTAAGAGGGCTCCGTGATATGCATATTGTGGACAGATTATTAGCTCTTGCTGTTGGGACCAAAAGCGTGGATGTTGTTCATATCCTGGACAAAGCCACTGCAGGAGCGACTGTTGCATTGGCGATAATCTTCATGAAATCAAACGACGCGACTGTTGCTGAAAGGATCGATATCCCAGACACGGTTGCTCAGTTTGACTATGTGCGGCCAGACATCTTCCTGCTTCGAACATTGGCCAAAAACTTGATAATGTGGGATTCTATTGTCGCAAGCGATAGATGGATCAAGAACAATCTCCCATCTATTTATAAGCGTAAATATCGCGTTACGACAGTCCGTCATCTAAGCACTGATGACATGCCTTTTTTCAACATCATTACCGGCCTCTGTTTTGCTATTGGGCTTCGATTTGCCGGCTCTGGTGCATATCAAGCCCGCGACCTTCTTGTTTCCTATCTTGACCAGTTTAAACGTATAGCGCGGTTCACAGTGCACAACTACGATGAGAAGCTAACTCGAAATGCAGTTCGCAACTGCCCAGGATATTATTGCATTATCTGCAGCAGCTGTCATGGCTGGAACTGGAGACCTCATAGTGTTTCGCCGTCTTCGATCACTTCATGGCCACGTTAATGCAGATACGCCATACGGAACGCTACATGGCAGCACACATGGCTATCGGTATGCTGTTTTTGGGTGGTGGAACATATACGCTGGGTACTTCGAATCTTGGGATCGCGGCGCTACTTTGCTCCTTTTATCCCATATTTCCCACCACTGTTCTTGACAACAAATGCCATCTTCAAGCCTTTCGCCATCTGTGGGTCCTCGCGGCAGAGCCAAGGTGTCTTGTTCCGCGCGACCTTGACACACGGCGTGCGGTAACAATCCCGGTATCTCTAACGCTCAAAACAGGCGAAAGTCAGCTTACAACAGCACCGTGCCTACTCCCTAATATAGATGATCTCGCTACCGTGAAGGTACAAAGCCCGGATCACTGGGATCTGACTCTCGACTTTGCTGACAACCCGGACCTCCGAGACAAATTCCGCTTGGGTGACCAATCTGTTTATCTCCGTAGGCGAGCTGTTTATACTGGGTCCTCTACCTCGGAATTTTCCTCATCCCTGATGGCATTGAGCGACGTCCAGGATATCCCTTCATCTTCCTCCCCTGGCTACTCTCGGGCAGTCAACACTACGCCGAATGCAGCAGCACCTATCTTGTATTCCCAAGGAAAATCATCAATTCAAGTCCGATTCCCCGCACGCCACCTCTGGGAGTGGATTTTCAACCTTCGCACCTTCCGACCTCTTGATATGGGTGACAAGGCGCTAGTGATACCCTCAGTACCATCTCAACAGCCGATTGAGATTTATGCTAGGGACCACTCCGAAATTATTATTTGGCCAGTTTCCTGGCTGCGTCCAAGTGCAGTGGATACGAGGCTCGTGCTTGAAAAGACGGTCCAGCATTTGGTGGACGCTGCAACTGGTCAAGGCGACGGGGATGATACGGTCAGGGATCGGCTGTGGCAACTTAGACTCCTTTTCGCATGGCTGGACTCAAATGATGACCGAACAAAAGTCGCTGCGGGAGAAACACGCTGCAGAAAGACCTTCAAAGGAATGTGGCTTAGGGCGGATATTATTGAAGATGTTCGATGGAGGGTGTGGGGCGTTCAAGTGGGCGACAACGGCAACGGCGGACAGCTCCTTGAGGATAACCGAGGGATGCCTACGTGACGGATGTGCAATTCTATTATTGATCAGAATTGCCGGGTGCCCTCCGATTCCCCAACACCGGGCTCTAAGCATGAGCAGGAAGTGGGACGTATGCTTGCGTGTGGTTAATGGATGTGGTATATCTTCATTTTAAGTGAAAGTATCCCAACGACATGTCAATGAGTTATCACCTTTTGTATGTGTATATATAGTTATTCCGAGACAGTTAGCAGCTGTTAACTGCCCAGGGAGAGTTGCTTGATTGCTTGCTTGTCCATGAGAAAATTAAAATACCCACTGAGCGGATTCGCGCGTGCTATTTTGATAACATTCGCATCTTCTCTGTACCGAATCTGGCCCCAAGATCCTGTCCCCAAAAATAGATAAAACAAGCCCGGTCAACAATGGCCAATGTTCCTTCATACATTCCTTGCCCATGGATAAATGCATACCAAAAAAGCCACATAGGGCTGAGTCAGCCTGTCGCGCAGGATCATCCGTCCACGGGTCCCCGGGCCGCCGGTGGATTTCCTAAAGCGGAATAACACGCCCACAGGCGAAGGCGAGGGCTGCGATTGATAAGATGGTCAACCTTGTACTGTGCATGTACATACATACATACAACGGCCCCTCTGTGATCTCGCTCGCATGCTGATTCTCCGGGAAGACCCTAATTGAACGCGCTGATACCACCATATAGCCGCATTTGCTGAGACGGGGTCAACTATGGCGTTGATTTAGTCCTCGCGAGGAAGGGAGCCTCCCTGCAACAAGGTAGACCGATGATTTGCTGACGGCAGGTGGGGGGAGTCTTGTTGTATTCCAATGACCCGGCGAGAGAGAAAGCAGTCCGAGAGCCGACGACGGACGGGCTGTTGGACATGTAAGGGTTAGTTCAATGTGTTTTTCTACCCCTTGTTCTCGTTCTCTCTCATGCGGCCATATCGTAGACTGAGGTGTGGGCCTGCCATTAGAAAAGCATATCCAATGCACCGAGGAATGGCCGGTATGTAGCCGGTGCGAACGACTGGGCGTGCGATGTGTTCGTGGCCTCAAATTGCTCTGGAGAGAGGATGCGGCTCAGAGGGGTATACACTTTGGTCGAGAAGGTTTGTTCTGAACCTTTCAAGCCTTCTTCCCTCCAGGAAAACAATAGAGGAAGGAAGCATTCACTGACATATAGCTCTTTAAAACTACATTGTTAGGGACATGGTCAAAACGTCCGACGACCAAACCACGTACCAAAATCGGAAT